TTTCCCATTTTGCCCTTCTTTTAAATTCATAAATAATATAAAAAGTACAATTATGACATTGATATTCTCAAAAAAGTGTACTATCAAAGGGTAATTTTGGAAAATCAACTTTTTAAAAGTACAATAATTGTACTACCAAAAAAAGTTGAATTCCCTAAAAGGAACCATTATTTTGAGACGGAGGGAGTATTAAATAAAATAAATTTTTTTAAAAAGGGCTCAGCACACGAGCACAGATTTAGGGAGTGACCAGTAAAAAGGTACAGCTGATCTTGTGACCATAGATTCCTCCGTATTGGTTTCTGTTGGTTCCGTTCTGTAGTCGTATATTTTTCGATTTTCGTACTGCCTTCTGGGATTATGTGTCATTGCTATAGTACTCAAAAATTATTGGAGCCTCAGGTTAAATTTATATTTTAATCACCACGAATTATTATATTTACTCAAAATTAATAGAAAAAATTACAGAAAGGTCGGAGAAAAAAAAAAGAAAAATGTTTAGGTGTCACAATTTTTGTGATTCAAATGGTTTAAAATTGTTAAAACGACGTCGTTTTGATAATTTTAAAGTTGTTTTGTACTCAAAACGACGTTGTTTTGACAATTTCGAGTCATTTAAGCCACAAAAATTGTGGCCCTCAACCATTGCTGGAAAAAAAAATCATATATATATGAAGGGTTGCAAATGACACTTACTTGCACCTTCATAATCTTTTATTTACATTCCACGACAAACACACTTGTACTCTTATGTGTAGGTAATTTTTTTCCCTTTCTCCCACTTGAGGTCAAAAATTTATATAACTATTTGTTGTCACTCTGTCTAATAATGGATCTAATTTTTTTTTAATATATGTTATATCTACATCTTAATATGAAAGAATTTAAGAGATTTGTGGACACCATCATAAGTTTCGTTTTGATGATTTAAATAATTCATTTTGTAAGACTCTCAATGTATGTTGAGAGGGTAATTTGTGTAGACAAATTAGGCCGAGCTAGATAAAATCCTTTTTGGAACTTGGGCCACGCAATGTGTTGAGATAAGCACTCGTGTAGCTTGGTTTTGGTTTGAACCTGTGTTGGGCCGGTCAGAGATGATTGTTTAGACATAGACCTAGCTATTTATGCATGGTCAGTAAGCGGACTGAGGCGACTTTAATGGAAAAGGTCGAGTTAGCTGTAGCTCGACAGAGCACTATTCTTTGGTTAGGTTTAGCATGGCTCGGCTAGAAGTTAAACAAAACAATATAGCTCGGTTGAGCGCAGTGATAGCCGACCAAAGAGTTCTAGCCATTTTACTTGGTTGGTAGTGAGGAGGGTGGCTAAGAGATAATCATCATCCTTTGGGAATGTGACTCCCAGGAGAACTCTACAAAGGAGGGATAGAGTCCTACTAAGATTGTGCCACACGGAATCTATCAAAGCTCATGACAACACTTATTTCCAGGTATTTCAATTCTGACTCTTGAATACGCAGAGCTTTCTGTCTATTGTTTACTTGCTGACTTAGGCTTCGGAGGGATTTCCGACACACACCCGCCGATTAGCTCACATTTGTATTTTTAGGTGATAAGACAACGACCTTTGGATAAGTGCAAACTTGATCAATAAGATTATACGAGGAGAATTATTTCTTGCTCGTACATATATCATCCATGAAAATAAATTAACTTTTTCAATAATTGTAACATATTCATTTTATCACATTGTTTTAAAAAAATGGACAGCAAATATATTTTTAAAAATAAATCATTCATTTTTTTTAGCGACAATTGTCACGCCTTCAAAATAATACATATAAGCCAATCATTCAAGACATCCATAGCCATAAGAGAATAACACATATTTCCATTTATCAGAGTATTTAGTACAAAAAGTATTACATGTTGACAACAAAAGTAAATGCCCTACGGGCTTATAACTTTCCAAGTCAACACTTGGGTTCAACAAAAGAAAGTTCTTACTCTAAACATATTAAGCCTTTGGCTTGAATTACATGTAATACAAAAGATAATCACAAAAGTAAGCCTTCAGCTACTACAACCTCCGGAGCTACATCCTTGGAGGCAGCATATCACTTGTACCTGAAAATAATGTCCCATATAGGGTGAGCCAAAGCCTAGTAGAGATACGCTAAACCAAATATGAGCAATAAATAAAACATTAGCATTTGATAAATGTTTAACTCATATAAACAAGCGTACATCCCTTTCATAACCAATCCATATTTACAAGCATATTTCAATCCCTTTTTCTGTTTCATTATCCAAACCAATTCATAGATATGGTTCTCTGTTCATCCAGACAGTTTATAATGAGACTACAACTCATATTAACAATACTTCGATCATAATCACTTAATATGAGACTACAACTCACATTATTAACACTTCAATACTTCAATTCATCTACGTTATGCAAACGCAATTGAGATTTTGGGACTTTTACCCTGGGCACTCCGGCTAACTTAGTTATCAATGGAGTCTATCCCCTATCTCCTCCCAAACAGGTTTGAGAGTACATCCCCTATCTCCTCTCAAACCATTTACAAGCATATTTCAATCCCTTTTTCTGTTTCATTATCCAAACCAATTCATAGATATGGTTCTCTGTTCATCCAGACAGTTTATAATGAGACTACAACTCATATTAACAATACTTCGATCATAATCACTTAATATGAGACTACAACTCACATTATTAACACTTCAATACTTCAATTCATCTACGTTATGCAAACGCAATTGGGATTTTGGGACTTTTACCCTGGGCACTCCGGCTAACTTAGTTATCAATGGAGTCCATTCCCTATCTCCTCCCAAACAGGTTTGAGAGTACATCCCCTATCTCCTCTCAAACCATGGAGTACATTCCCTATCTCCTTCCAAACAAGATACATATGCAATGTCTTTAAAAGCTCTATCATGTACAATGATCAATCTAGGCACATATTCAATGTGACAATTCAACCGTCATATTCAATGACATAACACATTTGATTAGTTTCAGTTTTCCCTAATCAACATACAGTGTCTACAACAATCAAGACTATCCTCCACCGATAGCCCAAAACAATTATTTCTAAACAGATAATAAATTTATCAAACAGATAAATTATCAACAATACCATAGATGAGTGACTAACTAATCCAACTACACCATTCAATCTCATAACTTCCCAATTTCATAACTTTTCCCAAATTAATTATTTAATTCCAATTAGGACTTTTCCCTCTTTTCTCAAACATTGATCCTAAGACCAAATCCCATCAATTTGACTCATAAACCCTCATTTCCAAGGCCTTATATGCACATGGAGCTTTAAAAATACAAAACCCCTCTTTATATAATTTCAATACAAACCCTAACTTTTCCAAAGTCCCCAAACAACACCATCTATACAAACTACATAACATTCATGTTAAAACTCATGGTAAGGAATAGGTTATCTCTACCTCAAGAGAAGAGACTCAAAGAAGATGAAGGTGAAAACCCAAGATGCTCCAAACCCAATGTTTTTCGGATCAAAGCGAAGCCCACGCCAAGCTCTATCTTTTCTTCAAAGAGAGTAGGGTAGAGACACCCAAGAACCAAGTGTTTTTCTAGAGAGAAGATGTATTATAGAGAGAGAGATAGCCGATCTAGGGTTTGAGAAGAAAAGGAAATCAAAAAGTGAGAGAAAAGACTGTTGCTGCTCTCTGATATATTCGAGCCTCGCTCGAGCGAAGGAGTGGTCGCTCGAGCGACCAGACAGAAAGAAACCTCTAGCGAACAACACGAAGCTTCAGGTCTGCAACCCAAAAGCACGCTCGAGCGAAGGAAAGCACGCTCGAGTGAAGAAACCCAAAACATAGTCCTCACTCGCTCGAGCAAAGGAAAGCTCACTCGAGCCAAGAAACACAACCTTCAGGTCCAAACTAGACGCAGACGTACGCTTGAGCGCAAGAATGCTCGCTCGAGCCAACAGACACACCACTCAAAGCTTGCTCGAGCGAAGGAACCTTGGCTCGAGTGAAGGAACTAAAACACAGAGCTCGCTCGAGCGACAAAAGCCTCGCTCGAGCGACAAAAGCCTCGCTCGAGCGAAGACACCAAAAACTGGGCAGCAACCATTTGTTTTAAAAACACACCCAACCTGTTACAAACCTGCCCAACATATCCTAAAACTCAAATACAAAGAATTAAAGGACGGAAATGCAACATATACAACAACAGACATCTACGGAACCGAGTCCGGAATACAATAACCAACGGAGGGAAAACCGAGATCGCTATAACAAATATAATAAAATGAAAATGACGATTATCGGATTAACATAATTTTTTTCATGAATGATATACATTGATAGCCCTACAAAATCACTACAAGAAATTTCACTTTTGGCAACTAAAGTTGCCAATCACTTTTGCTGACTAATATATTTGGTCGCCTATAGTTTGTCGGGGAAACAATCGGCGACTAAAATTTTTTTGGTAGCCAAAAGTGGCCTATTAAGTTGCCAATCACTTTTGCTGACTAATATATTTGGTCGCCTATAGTTTGTCGGGGAAACAATCGGCGACTAAAATTTTTTTGGTAGCCAAAAGTGGCCTATTGGCAACTAAAACCTTAATCGCCATATATTTTTTTTAAGTCGCCATATATATATTTTTTAAATTAAATATATAAATATATTTACTTTTAGCGACTAAATTATTTAGTAGCCAATTGAGTATGTATGTTTGGCAACTAATTATTTGGTAGCAAAAAATTCTACTTTTTGAGAATTAGCGACTAAAATTTTAGTAGCCAAAAGTTTCTTTTTTACAATTTGCGACTAACCGTTTAGTAGCCAAAAGTTTCACATTTTCACAATTGGCGACTAAAATTTTAATAGCCAAAAGCCAACCTGTGACATTTGTTTAGTCACCAAAAGGTCTCATTTAGTTTTTATAATTTATTCTGTAATATTTTTTGCGCCACCTATAACCTATGCTTATACAAAATTATTCATCTATTCATTCATTCATTCAATTCTTAACCATTCAATAAAAATATTTCTTTACAACCTGTACCATTCGATTTTCAACCACATACAAAACTTAACTATTAACCGTACATATCAAACAAAATAAAAATCCATAAATATGGTATAATCCAACAAATACATATACTATCCAAACCAACAATTAAAATCCAAGCTAAAGAAAATCTTAATAACAATTGTGGTGATGATGCTGATGCTGATACTGATACTAGAGACACTGTTGTTGGGCTGAAGGTCCTTTCACAATTGTTCTTCATCAATTTGTCACTTGGATGTTCAGGTTCTACATCATGATGAGAATGACAGTTTAGAAAATAAATTGAAACTGTTAAGTAAGGACAATAATAGTAAAAAGAAAAGAGCAATACACACCTGTGCAGCTTGAAACCAATTCATGACAATAATAGTAAGGACCAAACCAACGGTGTATCCTAGAAAAGCACTATTGAAATACTGGCTCTATTTTCCCCTGGACACATCGAAACACAATGCCAATGCTACAAATATATCAGAAGGTGAAAAGGGTGTGTAAGAATATACAACACCCTGTGTGTAAGTTTCAGAGATTAGGACACATAATACATATGATTACATAATAGAACAATTAGCAAGTAAAAGTATGCACCAAGAAATCAAAAAGAGGAATGCCCCAAAGAAAAAATATCATCAGTAATATATATAATTTTCATGATTCAGGGGAAAGTTTTTTCCCCTATGTTACAGGATGGAGGGGATTTTCCGTGTTTTCTCTCATACAAGGAAAAGCATGCCAACCACCTAGCGATTTTTACTTGCATTGATTGCTACCGCCAAGTCATAGTCAAAGGAGAAATAATTCTAATGATATGCACATATTACATAATCAGCACCTAACGTCAACAATCAGAATCAAGGAACCTGAAGCCCCAACTTTCTTCTCACATATATGTCAATGCAATGGCAGTCCATGTTCTATACTTATATCTCCTTGTAAACTACATAGTAAGATTCTATCAAAGAATGCCACAGCACAAGGGGATGTTGATAAAAAATCCATAACAAAATCAGATCAAACAATACTACAAGTGCTCATAATCCAAATCATAATTGCATGTAGTTGACATACCTAAAAAATAGTGTGCGCCTTAAGCAATGAAGCTAAAGAAATGCAACGTGAAAAACGAATTAGTGAAAGATTGTAGATGCTCTAACAAAACTGGAATTTTATGTGAATATGCTTCATATGCTGCTTAAAACATCACATTTCCTTACAGGCTCTATCAAGACCAGAAAACTAAGATGATCAACCCAATAAAAATGTGATTCATCTTCTTCCTCTTTGACTGTATTAAAGATCGAAGTTTATGCTCTTCAAGCAAGAATTATATAACCAAAGCTCTAGTTGTTCTGATTCAAACTTGATTTCAAATTAGCAAATTTTATACACTGATATATGGATCAATACTTGCTCAGATCATCAGAAAGTACACACACAGACACGGCCTTAAATGAATAAATTTTTCAGATAATTAGATCCTAAAATACAACTATTTCACATATGTGCATACAAAATCAAACCCAAAACTTGAATTAACCCAAAAAAAAAAAAAAAGAAATAGAACCCACAAAATCTAAAAGCTAATATTACAAATAAACAATATTCCCAATGAGCATAGACATGGGAAAGTGAAAATCTAACCTTGTTTTCAACTCACAGAGGCCCAAACAAAGTGACTATGAGATAAAACTCAAAACTAGAATTAACCCAGTAAAAAAGAAACACAACCCTCAAATTCTAAAGGCTAATACTAGACAAGAACAATATTATCACTGAACAAAGACATGAGAAAGTGAAAATCTAACCTTGTTTTCAGCTCACAGAGGCCAAAACAGAGTGACTATGAGATCAAAGCTCCAAACTAGAATCAACCCAGAAAAAAAGAAACACAACCCACAAAATCTAAACGCTAATACTATACAAGAACAAGATTATCACTGAGCATAGACATGAGAAAGTGAAAATCTAACCTTGGTTTTAGTTCACAGAGGGCAAAAACAGAGAGTGACAATCAGATCAAATCTTGTGCAAATGTTAGGAATTGCTTGAAGAACTCAAAAATAAGAAGCCAAGTTGGGTCACAAAAACCCATCTATTCCACTATGGAAAAGCTCAATTCCATTACCCCCAAAAATCTTGATCACCACCTAGGGACCACACCCACACCCGCATAGGGCTGGGTTTGTGTGAGCATAGACATGAGAAAGTGAAAATCTAACCTTGGTTTTAGTTCACAGAGGGCAAAAACAGAGAGTGACAATCAGATCAAATCTTGTGCAAATGTTAGGAATTGCTTGAAGAACTCAAAAATAAGAAGCCAAGTTGGGTCACAAAAACCCATCTATTCCACCATGGAAAAGCTCAATTCCATTACCCCCAAAAATATTGATCACCACCTAGGAACCACACCCACACCCGCATAGGGCTGGGTTTGTGTCAAAGTGTGTGAATGGAAGAAAACGCAGAGAGAGAGAGAGAGAGAGGGCGAAATAGAGACATACCTAGGGTAAAGTCAATCATCGATCGACGGAGGAGTGTGTGAGTTTGTCTTCGTTCTCCGACGCCATTGTAAGGCGTTGGACAATGTTGGTGGGTTTAGAAAAAATTCCTTAATTATATACCCTACCCATCACAAATATATAATATATATATACACACCTACCTATATATAGAGAGAGAATTGGAGAGAGTCGAATTTGAAACTGTAGGTTAGGGTTTCAAGTTTTGAACTGAGAATAGTTGTCATGCCCAAGAATATGGGGAAAATCTAGGTGAATTAGTGCTCCAGTTGTCGGCGACCGTAAGGAGGAGCGGCAGAGGCACGACTAGTGGAGGGGCGGTGAGAAGGGAAGGGGGGAAGAGCAGCGGAGAGGGAGAGGGAGAGGGAGAGGGAGAGACGTTGGACAGAGAGTCAGGCGCTGGTTTGTTGTTTGGAAAGCAAATATATATATATACTAGCGGTTGGGCACACACGATGTGTGTGCAAATTAAATAAATAGGAATAAAAGAAAATAATAATGAAATTAATATTATAATGTGTACTTATCTTAAGTGGTATGAGTCTTCATATTTAAACCCATGGTCATGGGTTCAAGCCTTGTCCATCTCTTTGTTTAATTTTTTTTTAAAAAAATAAAAAAGACTGCCACATGGCATGAGGAGAGTAAAGCAAGCTTCAGGACACCATATTATGTGTTCACTTTATAATAGTATAGATAGATATATATATTACACCATTAGCGACTAAATTTTTTCAGTCGCCAATTATTTTTGTCAATCCCTCAAAAATTTGTAAATCCCGCAAAATATTTTAATTTTTTGGTGACTAAAATATATATTTTGGTCGTTGAAAATAAGTCTTTGGCGACTAAATTTTTGGCCGCCAATAATAAATAATAATTTTTTATTTTTCATTCGGCGACTAAATAGATTTAGTAGCCAAAACTCAATGTACAACGACTAATTTTTTTTTTTCATCGTTGAAAATAAGTTTTTGGCAACCAAACATTTGGTCGCCAAAGCTAAAAAATAATTTTTTATTTTTCATTCGGCGACTAAATGATTTTAGTAGCCAAACTAAATGTACGGTGACTGAATTTTTTTATTGTTGCCAATTCTGACATTTTTAGCGACTAATTTTTTTTAGTCGCCAATAATCAATATATGCCAACTAAAAAAAATTAGGAGCTAAATATTTTACTTTTGCTGACTAAAAAAATTATTAGTCGCCAATTTTGGTCGCCAAATGTGCATTTTGTTATAGTGAATGAACGGTTCAAATTATTGAAACATGACATATGGTGAGTCTCACGAACCCCTCAATTTCTCTCGTGTTGAAATGTAAATAACCTAATTAAAAAAAAATATATATATGCGTCAAATATGATAATGTCACAAATAAATAAATTTAAAATATTTATTTATAAAGTTTTGCTAACAAATATTCTAAGGCCTCGTTTGGGAAGGGCTGGTTTAGCCAAAAAGCTAAAAAGTTATTAAAAAACCCAAAAAGTTAATAACCCATACCAAAAAGTCAAAGATTATCTTTTCTCTTTACTTTTTGTACATTTTTTCGTAAAAAGTCAAAAAGCCATCCCAAACATACTAGTTTTTTTTAGCTCATATTTTAGCCAAATAGCCAAAAAGTTACTAAATTAGCTTGTTCCTAAACGAGGCCTAAGAGAACAAGAAAAAAATTTATACATATATATATATAATTCAAGATACTTTTCACTAGTTTTATAACATTTTAAACTCATTTTAAAATATTTTTAAGGGAAATTTGGCTATAAACCCTCTTTACCTTCCTTTCATTGTTAAAAGAATTAAGAAAAAAATTATACTTTCTAAACTCCCTCATAATTATAAAATCTTGCATAAAGGACAAAATTTATTATTTAAATATTTTATTAGACTATTATACCCTCAACTAAATTTTCCCACATTCTCCACCCACTCTCTCTCCACCTTCTCTGTCTTTCTCCTCACTCTCTCCCTTCTCTAACTCCTTCAAGCTTCAGATCTGGAAGCTTCAGGCCTCGCCAACGACGCCGACGTCCGATCCTCTTCCGCCACTCCCTCTGGAATCGAGCTTTGATTCAACAGGTTAACGAGAATCACCAGTTGAAGATGCCTAACAATCTCATCAAGAACGTTGCCTTAATTCGAGAGATCAACAGTAATATATCCAAAGTCATATCTCTCTACTCCGATTTTTCCGTTGATTTCTCCAACATCATTCAGCAACGATGCGCGATCAACAATGACGACTACGTGGAGAAGAGTGCTGGTGGAGTTGTTTGGTTATACATATTTTTTTAAACACAGATTTGAGTTTTGAATATATGTATATATATATATATATATTTGTGTATGAGTGTTGTTGAACACATGTATTCTTTTCATTGAGATTTGTGATTGTTGATCGAGTTTTAGAAGTTTTATTCTAACACCAGAGTAAAATTTTACTCTAATTCTTTCAAACAAAAAACAGAGCAATAGAACAAGAGTAAAATTTTACTCTCATTATTTGAAACAAAAAACAGCGCAATAGAACCAGAGTAAAATTTTACTCTGGTTCTATTGCTCTGTTTTTTGTTTCAGATAATGAGAGTAAAATTTTACTCTTATTCTATTGCTCTGTTTTTTGTTTGAAAGAATTAGAGTAAAATTTTACTCTGGTGTTAGAATGACAGTAAAATTTTACTATCAAGAGGTGGTCATTGCCAAATACTTTAGCCGTCATAAACACTACCTTCGCTTTTTTACTTTTGTGCGGAGTAACATTTTAATTTTAGCTTCAGAGTCTCACAGTTTACTTGTTTTTCAGAGTAAAATTTTACTTTTATACAGAGTAAAATTTTACTTTTGTGTAGAGTCTAATATTTTATTAGTTTTTCAGAGTAAAATTTTATTTTTATACAGAGTAAAATTTTACTTTTAATTTCAGAGTGTAACATTTTACTCTTATTCAGAGTAAAATTTTACTTTACTAAAATTTTACTCTGAATACACAGTGAAGATGGCTTAATAGGAGAACTGATAGATATGAGGGTAATATAGTAAAAGAAACAAGTTTTAAAATATTAGGGAGTTTTGAAAGTACTTATATAATTCTTATCATTTTGAAAGAAAAATTAGATAGTGAGGGGACTATCACCAAATCTCCCTATTTTTAATTTTTTACTATTTTCAGAACGCTTGTTATATTTATTTTCATCATTTCTAAATTATTGGGGCAGTCGTTTACATTTGCCTTATTTATGTGGGTCTCACATGTCCATTAGTGTAATTAATTATTGTTTCATGTTATCACTGGCATATTTGAATCATATAATGTTAAATTTTCAATAGGGTAATAAAAGTGATGCAGTCATTATACTTTTTTCATTTTTAAAAAGGATTTTAATTTAAGATTCCTGATGTTAAAATTCATAAAATAAATGACATATAATTTTTATAATAGTTGGAGTCACTCAACATTTTTATAAATAAATTTTTTTTCACAGAAAAAAATTGGACTATTCACAAAGAAATTTCTCTAATAATGTTATTGAGAGACCTAAACTAATAAAAAAAAAATATATTGAATCTCTTCTTCTACCCAAAGTTAGAAATGAATATTTCATTAATTTTTCCTTTTAAGGAGTGATAGTAATTTTAAAAAATAAAAGTAAAATTAACTTTTTCTTTTAATTGTTTCTGCAGAAGAAGAAAATAAAGAAGTATTCATGCTACACAAATTTATCACCACTAGTTGTTCAACGATTTATTTTTTTATTTACCACCATTACTATGAGCTTATTATGAAACTAAAAATAAAGGATCACATATAATACATAATTTTTCTGTATATTCATTGCCATGCAAACTGTGAGAATCTATATTTTTGCATATTAAATTATTTTGGTAATTATATTTAGTTACTTAAATTTTTTAATCAACATCCATAATCCAATTCCATAGCAACATTTTGTGACGAAATTCTATAATTAATTTTTAATTATTTAATTAGTGCAATTTTATCTTCATAGTATTATTATTGTTGTTATTGTCGTCATCGTCGTTGTCATCTCTTTTATGACTACACAAATCTAATTCTTAATAAATATTATTCTATATAATTGTTCTGTATAAAGTTTTGCATTAACAATTAGTGTACAAGAAAATTAACCCATGGAGATTAATTGGTTCAATTTCAAGTCTTTTAGTTACATATAATAATATTAAGTCAATTAATAGTGATTATTAAACTATTAAATTAAATGTTAATAGCATCATGATTAATACCAATATTAAAACTCCTTTAAATAAATTTATTTATCCTTATGTGATTCAATTTCTATATTTAAATACAGTTGTGGAAATTTTTTAAACAAATAATAACTAAATTAATTAGAGGATAGTAGAGAGTAAAATATTTAGTGACTAGGTTCTATATATACATTGATTTTTATTTTGTACACACAACCCAAAAAAAATGCAAAGTCCAGATTTTGGGAAAAGGAATCCGGCCCCCACCTTCCCGAGGAGGCTGCTGAGCAAGCATGCCAATGCATGCTAAGGCATGCTTACAGCCACACCATAGCCTAAACATTGTAGGTAATATTCCCAAGTCAAGAAGAAAATAAAAATAAGAAAAATAAAAAAAAGAGG